GCTGCGGCGCCGCCTCCCGGCGCTGCTGCCGCCCGGGGAGAGGGCCCGGGTCGCCGCGAGACGCGGTGCTGGTTCCAGACGGAAGTAGCGTGGGTTCAGACCGAGTGCGTGGAAGGATTTGGGTTTACAGAGCAGGTGGCGAAACACCAGAACAGGTTGCCCTGTGAGAGGTGGTGGGAACCCCATCCCTGGAAACGCTCACGGTCAGATCGGGCCCCGAGCCGCCGGATCGGGTCACTGCGGGGGGGTCCGACTGGTTGGCTTTTAAAGGCCTCTTTCAACCCAAACCCTTTATTATTCTCATCTACCATTATTTATTATCTCTTCTCAACTGATTTTTTTTTGTGGAACGACCTCTCTCGCACACCTGGTTGCCCCATGAGCCTAAATCAAACATTTGGTACTTTAGATAGACAAATTGCTGTGTTACGGTGTCGTTGCAAATTTAAACTGAGCATTGGGCAATTTAGTCAAAAGGTGATGCTACAGCGTCAAGTTACCTTCAGTGGTGTTCTTCATGTATGGCAACATTAGGAATACAGAATTCGTTTTGTGTTGCTAGCATCTGAGGCCAATTTGTGCACATAATGAGAAATTCTGTAACGCTATTAAGCAAATATCAGGAATTAGCTGAAGAAGAAAGATAAAATTACAACATGCACACAAAGGGCTGCCAGTGAACTGTGCATTGCAAATGACCTATGTGGAGAGCCACAGTAACAGCAAAAAAAACCCTGGTTAGTAAAGACTTTGTCCAGAACACTTAGACTTCATATGAGCACAAAGGTGGACAGTGTTGCCTTAAGATTTTATTTTAAACTGATTTAACTGAGCTGCTGCAAAACCTTGAAAAAGGTTTTCTTGCTTTGCTTTAAACCTAATTTATATCAGCTTAACTTGTTTTAATAAATGCACACTTTCAAAGTTATTGAATCCACATGCGGAGTTATAAATTTTTCTTCCTTCAGTTTCATTAAAGGTGTTAAAATTCCTTATATGCTTTGGGGGCCTTCAAAATGCTGTTGGTTCTATAAAAACAAGCCTTATGTCAGATATCAGAAATCCTTGCACTCCCAAGAAAATGTTAAGTAATGTAAAAGCCCTTGAAACTACTCAAATAGTAGTTGCCAAAAGGTTTTCTTGGAATGTACTGTGAAGACAGGACATTGTTATTTCTCACAGGTAAAACAAATTGTATACTTTGCAGTATTTTACTGCAAGTAAAGTTGGATTACTGAGAAAGAACTGGCTTTTAGATGTCAGACTGAGCTTGCAAAACTGAAAATGTCTTGAACTACTGTAATCTGTATTCTCTTGTGGCTTTCATCCTCAAAGATACTTAATGTCTGTTGAAATTGTGTTATACACTCTCAGCTTTATGGAAGAAATACCGTTATTTTTTATTTCATCTGTTCAGATCATATTTAATCCTTGCAATGTGCTTTCAATCTTGGTTAAAGGCTTTATACAGTAACTGCATCCACTTTTATTCCTGAATGAAATAATATTCTGTAACTCTTTATTTATGAGTGGATTTAGTTTGCAGTGAGAATATATAATGTGGTATGGGCTACACTGAACTTTATCCAAGATAATAAAAACCTAATTCTGCTTCTTAAAGAAAAACTCCAAATAAGATGGAAAGCAACATGAACAAAAATTTGGACTTTTGTCTTTTTCTCCCTGTAGGCAGGTTGGACAAGATGGTGCCAGAAAGGCTTCCTCCCCTTGCTCCTGCAGCAACCAGGGAGTTACCTCCAAGGGTTTCTGTCCCCAGAAAACTCCTTGCTCCTGTGTGCCGTGCCCCAGAGCACACAGTACAGGCACTTTCTGACAGCCTGCAGGAATTCTTATTCTGGCAGGCTGAAAAAAAATATTTTGCTTTATTTTAGGCACTCAAAACTGAAAACCTACAACAAAATAATAAATTTTTCAGGCCTAGAGATACTGTAGGAGGCCTACAGAGGTCTGGGCTAAACCCTAAACTATGTGGACCAGTCTGGTGTTCTTTTAAGGAGAGTTGTTTCAGCAGCCAAGCTACCACTTAGCCTGGAAGCCGAGAGTTGCTCCCCAAGGCAGATGGTGTGGTCATGTGTAGGTATTTTAGTTAAGATCAGGTCTGCACTTTCTAATTGAATCTCCATTTATCCATGCTACTGTGCTTTGGTTTTCATTGCAAAGTGATTCAGATTTCCTTTAGGCTAAAGCAATCTGGAGGATGAACTTTAAGCCCTAATGGTTGTTAAATCTTCGGAGTCAGGCCAGAACTAAATCAAAATAGCCTCTTGATACTCTTATGGTGTAGATACCTGGTCCCAGCACCAGCTGTTCCTTTCTGCAAATCCACACCTGTTAGCTCACAATACTGCTGATGCAATATAGCATATCTGGACCAAAAGCAGTGTTGTCCTGCAGTTTCCTAGAGACTTTAGACCCATCATACGGCTTGTGCTTTCATTATGTGATTGTAAAAGATGCCCTGACCAAAGAGAGGACTCTCGATCCAACTGCCATCCCCCCTCGTCACTGTTCAGTTTTGAAAACCACCAGAAGACCGACACTTAAATCCTGATATCCTCATATTCATTTCTTGTCTTCTTCTATAGTTGTTTATCTTCTTTTCCTTTCTTGATGTTAGCTTTCAGTTTAAAAACAGTCTGTCTTTGCTGACTTTGCAGCAGCACTGCAGCGAGCCTGTGTCCAAAAAGGCAGCTAAAATCAATGTCCAGAACAGCACACAGCTGCTGTGTTTGCCAAGTCTCACAGTGGCGGATAAAACTGTGCTGAGCCTGTTTTTCTCTAGTGGTCAGGTTGCCAGTAACAATCGGGACCAAAAACAAAGTCTGCATTTTCAATCACTGCTGTTCTGTTCCTTTCTGGTTTATCTATCTTTGTCTTGTTTTCTCTTTATGGAAATATGTCCAGACTCCAGTAAACTCATTAGCAGCCACATATCCAACTCCTCTCAGCTGATCTTTTCTTTTATTCCCATAGTCATTGCCATCTTCAATCCAGGTTTCTGAATTGACATTGTATGTTGGGTAGAAGCGTCGTCCAACTGCAGACTCATGCTCTTTCGTGGCAGCTGCAGCTCATTCATTCAGAGGGCAGCCTCCAACCAGACTTCAAATCCTGGAAGTCTTAGCTGCACTAGAATATACTGCATCTTGTGCTGAGTGGAGGTGTGTAGGGCACTGTGCTGGAGTAGAAAGTACATTCTCTCTTAGGGCCATGTGCTGAAAGGACTCGATGTCT